TCTACGATAATCAATGTTTAACGGAATCCTAGCGTAATGGAGATTCTTTTTATGAAAATATTATAACGGTCTGCCGAATATATTAGTAGCACAGCTAAATATTTTGTCTAACGACTCTTTTGTTTATGGCGAAACTGGATAATCAAATTATGAACATTTGATATGCAGATATGGTCATCAATTATGATGTATATGCGCAATAAATATTGACAGTCTAAAACAAGTTATGAAAAAATCTTAACTAGCTCATAGGTTATTATACTATAGCTGAACAACTGTTAACTAGGTGTAAGTGGCATCATGCCTTGAGGCATGTTGAATGAACTTCCTGACATGTGTAAAAAATCGACTTAATCAATAAGAAACTGTCTACGGCGATCTAAAAATGTTGACTACAAAGAATTGTCATTAAAATACCGCTAAAGATCAGAGATCAGAGAAAAATAAATTTTCAAAGGACATCCCCAACAAAAGTCAAGATGTCGAAAATGGCCTCTAGATAATATATATGTAATTACAATCATTAAAGATATATTTCAAGTAACATATTGTAAAATTGATCAGTAGATCCTATCTTATTTCAACATTCACTTAGTTCTCACTTTAACTTATAGAAATATTGTACTTTCTGATTGCTTACAAAATATTATTACTTACAAGTTACTTAAAATTGCTTACAAAATATATTAATTCCTGAATCATATATATTTTGTGAAGTATTATAATGTGAGAAATTATTGTAGATGATTCAATTTTGCATAAATTTTCCAAACATGTTAGCTATTTTCGACAAATGGTTTAAACATTACACAAAGTATATTAAAAAACCGCGGGCGATTAATCCAATCTTCAAATAATTTTCAAAATTGAATCATTTATCGTAGGCCTCTAATATTTCAGTATGTTTATCAAGACCAAGATTTCTATGGCCATACAATTTTTCATCAAAATCGCAAAAAATTAAATAATCAATTATGAATAAACGACCCGACATATCTTTGCCAAAACCTAATCAGCACGATGATATAAATGATATTTTTCGAATAGAATCTGAATTTTCAAAATTGGTTCACAATTTTTTGCGAAAACGCGGAAAGAAAAATTGTACTAAAGAAAGGGCTCCTCCAAAAAAAATAGCCAGGTGAGTGCTTATCGAGTTTCATAGAATGGTTTTTAAGTTTTATTTTTTAAATCAAAGGGTCAAAAATCGCTTGTTTCTTCCAAATTTGGTCTCAAACAATTCATATGACTTAGAACGTCAAAAAAAACAAAGTTAAAAAAATGAATTTAATGGCAAAAACAAACTTCTCCTTTAGGAAGCTACTAAGTAACCGGCAGATAAGCAATAATTCAACAATATTTTTTATGCTTTTGTAAAACATGACGGAGTCTTCATATTCAATTACATTTTACAAAATCAACAAACGCTTATGAATTATTCTCGATGAATAATCATAATACGTAGGAGCCTGTATAATTATTAGTATGTGCGGCGTTTAAACTAACTTACTATCGGTGGTAACAAATTCGCAGATTTACGCTCAGGTTAATGAGATAACTATCCATTGAGATCTTTCTACACGATAACTGAAGTATAAGTGATATAGATTGTTGATAGTGTCGTTGGATACAATAACTCGTCGATGTAAGAATTATCCGAGAAGCAAATTGGTAATAGAAATAGGCCAGAATTATTTACATGCAATAAAAAATCACAAGGAGAATCTTAGGTTTACTCTTCTGGGATTTTGATGAAACTTCGCATCGTGATAGAGTTGATAGTCAAACTGAACACTTTAAAATATTATTGACTTACGAGAAGTGGGTTAATTATAAAAATTAATTAAAGTTTTGAAAAATAGACTACGCGCAATACGTACGCCTACAGTTGATGAAAACTACAGATACATTCAAAATGCCTAACCAAAATTGTACCTGTATATATTATACAAATTAATTAATTAATTGAATTAATCTCAGATGAGAGATGTGCCATACAGTGTGTGCTGTGTAAATTCAAAACCACTATGAAAAGAATGAAACAATCAGTTTCTCAATAAAAGGTACATTGTCCAATGTCACATACTGTGCGTTAATTGTCTCTTTACCCTTTACTGGCGCTTAAGAGAATCGACTTTCGTTCCGAGCTCAGGTAGCGCCGGTTTATAGCGAACCCCGCTGTGAATCCTCACAGGAAAGAAACCAAAAACAACAAAAAGTCTTTTGCTCAAGAGTGAGGTATACCAAAATTATGATACCAAAAGCTTCCAACATTACGAGGCATTCGTCAAAAGTAAGTACACACGACGGGTGACCGTTTATATTGGGAGGTTGACATACGAAAATGAACATTTCGCCCATTGTCTACATCTACAACATCCCCTTCAAAACGCGGAAATTTATTGGCAAAACCTGACGAAAGATAAAAAACGATCCTCTAGTCTCGACACTATGTCACCGATATTTTATATCTGTGGGACTCACTCCGAGAAGAAGGACGATTTCGAATAATTTATGTCCGGACAGAAAGTTGAACTGTTAGACGTCTCCAATTTTTTCTACAAGAACTCTTGTTTACCTGCATATCGATGCACCTATATGTTTACATATTTTGTACACAAAAACAAACGCATATTATACATAGAAGTAAATACTTGTATATTGTATATATATATATATATATATATATATATATATATATAAAATACAGATTTTGCGGTACTTCAGGGTGCTGTATTATCTTTGCAGATTTTTTAAAATTTATGTTGATTTTTATATCAGTTAAACATTTTTTGACAGTTTCTTTGAAATACCGAAAACGTACCACCGTGCCCATTTGCGTCTTGCACGCAAGGACGACAAAAATGTGTACGGATCTTTCGTTGATATTTTTTGTTTTTGTTAGCGGATCGGGATGACAACTTTGAAGACATAAAAATGTGTCTGAATTATTACCGACCGATGAAAACCAAATAAATTACAGCTTGTGTTTTGTATTTCACTAAATGCGAAGACCTGAGACCACATATATTTATCTTGAAAAATATTGGGCGTCATACCTTATTCCGTTCGGTATTTGCGATGCGGTCGACCCGCTAGAGAAACTTTCCTTTTGTTTTTTGTCTATCACGGATATTCATATGTAAATTTGTGAATTATTTCTCATGGTTTGGATACAATTAGAGAATAATTTATGTGTACTGTGTAATGTAACATTTTTATGAACTACGAACATGTGGTCTGTAAAATAATCCCAAACGGAAAACGAAACAAAAGAACTGGTGCAAATCGAGTAGTGAACCTCATATCCTGATAACTAATGAAAATCTGCGCGACGAGCGTTGTTTTATTAAATTATGAAATATTACGTGACGGCAACCTTAACGTGTAATTGTTGGGCGGTCCTTTGCACATATATATTATGTGCACACAGATGCATACAATGCACAAACCGTCGGGATATTATGCAACCGCGAGAAGAACGCAATTTCTTTGTTGACGATGACGGATCACGATGGGACTTACGCGCCATACTACGATTGTCGTTGTCATAGATTTTAATGACAACTAGAACTCTTCGACCGTCACACACAGCGCTCTAGATATGAAAATTTCAGATAAAACTTGTGACTTGAAAAGCTTCAACGTGTGAAAAGTCCATAAACGTTACAACAATATTTGCTGGTCTACATAAAATATTATTAAACCCAACTATTAAGTGCATTTTAAAAAAATCTTTACTAACGGTAAATTTTAAATATAAAATTTTAAAAATAATTTTTAGCAAAGGTTATCTTTTTAAGTAATAAGAATCGACGCCGTCGTTAGTGGGAGTCGTATGTGGACTGAAGGTTGTGATCAGCGAGGCGTGACTAGTTTCTGCGGCAGAATAAGAGACAATGAGAATGCCCTCCTCATGCATAATGCATCCTCGGAGTCGCGCTTCCTCAGGGTAACCGGCAACACAAGACATTCTGGTACTGTTGAACACTTTTCGAAGCAAGCTAGGGATGGACGCGATTACCTGCACTTTAACGGTCAGTTGATTAAAAGAGAGTGATTGATATAGAAAGATGATAGAAAATCTATGTAATAATCTTTTTAAAATAGTGTGGATTACAAAAAACTATTTTAAGTATGAAATTTTTAGAAAACATGATCGTAAATTTTCATGCTAATTGTAAACAAAAATCACAAATCTTGTAGAGAAAATTTTTGAGTGAGAGTAACCTTGTAATCAAAATGACCTTTTTTGCAACGTGTGTCTCTTTATTATGTAGTGATTGGCCATCCTTAGTACGCATTGCCAACCGTGCGTAGCGCAAACGAGTATGTGTTGGCATGTCGTTACTGGTACTCGTAGTACAGACAGCCAACTGGTGGATTAGAAGGTATGCAGAGGAGATGATCAGTGCCAAACGAGTGCCGGCGACATTAAAGAAGGGCATGGTGATTGCGATTGTGTGGTGGTGCCATAATGTGCTCGGGTGTAGGTCGGTGTGTGCGTATTTACGAGACAACATGGAAACACGGCACGAAGTGTCATCAACTTCGTCAGAAAGCACGACGACACATTGTTCGAAACTTCAAATCATAAGTTTACAAAAAAGAAAAATAAAAGAAAGGTTAAGGGTAAAATAATTCGAAATTGACCGCTTAGAAAATATTTTTAAAGGGTTAAAAATAAAAATAATAATTCGGAAATTTAAAACTTAGAGGTGTAAAACAATAAAAACAGATAGGAAAAATTGTCTGAGCTCAACGACTTATTTTATTAATTTTAAAAATAACTGTTTTTTAGTTGTTGCTTGGAAAACCAGCGGTCATTCCGAAAAAATGAAACTAACATAATATTAAAATAAGTGAATTAATACAAAACGCAAAATCGTCCCATAAAGTAAAAGCAAACAAAATATAAAAAATAAACGCAAATACCAAAATAAAGTCAAAACTAAAATACAATTCAAAATAATAAATAAAATCATAAACAACGTCCTTACCGGCGCTAGTTCTCGCCTTATTTCTGGGCTTGATGGATACAGGGGAGCTGGACTGAGGCGCACGCACCGTCGTCGAGTGAGGATAGAGCCCTAACGGACCGGGATAGGAATCTCCTGGGAAACCAGGATACGCGCTACTACTACTGGCATTGACGGCACTGGGATGATGGTACCCCGTGCCTGTGCCTGCGTGCGTTGACTGTTCCATGCTCCGGTCATGATGATAGACAGACGTTGAGTCCGTGGTTGATGCTATGCTTGTTGACAGACCTTCCCTCTGCTTCTGTCCGCCTCCGTTGCTGCTGCCGCCACCTCCTCCGTTCATCGCGGACGGTTTCACATCTAGACCAACGCAGGCCTGCTCGTTCTGCTGCATGAAGGCATTCACGACCGCTTGGTAGTCCCCCGCGGCTGCATTGTTGAGCGCCGCGTTTGCGGCAACGGAATCCGGCGTCGAATCCTTGGGCGGCGTCGGAGGGAACGAGAAAAGAGGCGCTTGCGTCGGTTTCTCGGGTTCAAAGGGGGCACCCCAACCGCTGCCCGGCAGCGCTTTCGCGGATTCGGACAGCCACGGGTGTAACGGCGGGTGAAATTGCGGGCGACACACTTGACCGGAACTCATCCGCGCACCTGTTAGGAAAACGAATTAAAACTGATTAATAAATAATACATAAAATATAAACATATACATAACACAATAAAAGCAAAACACTGCGCTGTATCTAGTTAACAATATTCTAAAAATGTACTATAGTAAGAATAAAACAAGTAATTTCGTCTATAGCTGCCTAAACTGAATGTACGCAAAATGATTACATAGAATTTACTTTTTGACGCCGATGTTAACGTTTATGACAGAAAATATTATAAGATTGTAAGCTAAACAAGTTGTGCAAGTTAATTTTCCAATAAATGCATTTGTTATAATTTTTGAGATGCGCTCTAACCCTAACAGCGTTCGCATTTAAGGCATAAGCACAAAGCCGCGGGGTGGCCACGTATTATAAGAGAGCCGTATTACCACAATATATCTCTCCCGCGCCTCGCCAACTTGGTAATTTCATTGCGTAATAGTCATGCATTAAACAAATTGTTATTGCGAAAGATTATATGCACGCGGGTTTCGGCTACGGTGCGCTATGGGCCCGAAGGCGCCTCGTTCGGGCCGCATTGGGGGACAAACAAAGATGATATATTCGAAGATTTCGTGACAATACATTTATAGGAACCTATCATTGTAAGTGACATCCAAATTAAAATACATTAAAAAAATATATAGTCTAAATATAAATTTAAAATATATAAATCAGTTATATATTACTATTAATTCATCCGTTGTTTACTGAGTCGACTGAGCGAATGAGTGATTCGCAAGTTTTAACGTTTGTCTGAGACGCTCTCAACGGAATTTCTAAAAAATGCACATATTCAAGACCGGCTGATTGAAGAAATTGAAGAGTCGATCGCGTTTAGCGAGCAGGTCATCACTCATCGCTCGCATGCGGATGAGAGCAATACACCTGCTCGAACACGCGCACCTTGCCATCACGACGTCGTAACCTTGCCCCATGCCAAACAGCTGGGCATGATCACTTGTTGTCGGATTCGCGCCCCGAACGATTCCAAATTACCACCTAACATAACCGAAATCTATATACGCGGATTAAAAGTTGCAAGAAGAAATGAACTTCTTGTTGCAAAGTACCTGGACACCTAAAGAAATGTTTGTAAGAAACTTAGCTTCATCAATTTCAATTTATTGTTTATTTGTTGCAAGTGTAGAACGTTTTACAAATTCATTCATTTCATTAAGATTTTTAGAAGACACTGCTTATAACCCACAAAATACTCAAGTAAGTACTTATGCGACACAGGTCAGTAACTTTTTACGGGATGTTATAGCGGAAACGACTTACCATAGGATCCGTTACGTTCTGATTCTTTATTAGATTTAGAAAAAATTACACTCTATTATTTTGGTAATGAGTCATTATTTAGTGACCATGTAAAAAATCGCACTTGTAAAAATAACCTCTAATAAAAGAGAGTGCTCCGCTTATGACTGCATACAGTCAGCGCAATATTTACAGCTTAATGCTTCGATGCAGGCTAAAGTATACGATTACAAACACTTAAGAAAATTTCGGACATGTGTATGAATTGGTTAGTTTCTAGAATTCTCACAACGACTGCTGAGTATATAATTTGATCATCAGTTAATAATATGATGTTTAGGCCAGCTGAGAAATAAGCTCCCGTGCACCGGTAGTTCCGACACACCTCTTTACATGCCTCATCTTAGTTCTTTTGTTACGAAAACTTAATAATAATTAAGGGTGCGCACAGGTTTTTATTGTAGTGAATGTCTTATAAAATTAACGGAATGATCAGCCATATTATCAAAAGTAAGGAAACGTATAAAGTGATAAAAACACATGTTTTCAATTGAATATATCTAAATAACCGTAACAGATATGCGAATGATTGAAAATTGCTATTTACCCCCACAGCGCGTAATAGAAGCTCTAATGAATATTGATTTGGCTCATAATAAAGGTGAAAGTTAAACAGCATGCGATTATATTTATGTATGAACACATAAGTAACAATTCGATGTTAAATATTGCTCGAGGACACAACTTTGAGATTTATGTGATACATTCCAGTATTGCAACTGCGTGTAATAATATCTCGGAGCCACACGCTCGTAATTCAGATTGTGAAGTAATTGTAAGTCGGTGTTCCAGTTCGGAAGGAATACAACACAACAAAAAAGCGCCACATCAGAGTCTAATTTGAATGTTACATCAATCTTAAAGAGACCTATGCTAGAGCTGTTTCACAATCTAGTACATAAATCAATAACAATACGGGCGAAGCTCAATAACTTTCTCGAACACTCAGTCGACTGTTATTAATGAAATTGATTTTAAAATTATTGAAACAACCAACATATTTTCAAAAAAACATTGCGTTTCAATTAACAACTTAAATACAAAAACTTGCTCATTGTAAAACATTTTTCAAAAGCGGTTGGAAATATTATTGAATTTTGGTATATTCAAAATAATATAAAAATTTTCTTTACGATGAACCTGTTCTCCCTTGCCATCGGTAGCATAGCTTCTTGAAGACCCAGCGAGGGGCCTTTTTACGTTTTGGGGCATTCACTTTTTATTGCCTTACCTCACAGAATGCATCTGCTTTTCGATAATGCATGCATACTATGTTTTTATTAATGCTATATGTATATTTATAATATATATAAATATATACACATGTTCTACAGTTGGTAATATATAGTTATTATAGATTTTGCATATTAAATTATATTTTAGGATGTCAAGGTGTATATTATTAGATTTTAAAATACTTTGATATACTAAGTTTGGAATAATTTAAATAAAACTAAACAAGCATGTTGGTTAGGAACAATATTTAACAAAAATAAAAATATTGAGTTATGTTAAATTCAGCCTCAGCAATGGTCAACCTGATCATGATCAATTAAAATTGATGTGGATTAATTAAAATCGTAGTCAATTACCAGCAAATGCAACATCTACTATATAGGTTGCAGATACAAAAACACCTACTAGATGAAATGTAGTTTTTGTATTTTTAATTACATGAATTACTGAAATATGCTAATGCGATCAAGAAGCATTTCATCGTTAGTTCGATTCATCAGTCCTACGTTGAAATTCTTCGGAGGCGAATGTAAAATTATTTACAAATTAATATATCCTTTAAGTAAAATTATCGAATATATGCTGAAAGTAAATACACAAACTTTAAATACAATATTCGTCATCAAACTCTTCTCAATAAAGTCCAATCAATGACCAGTCAAGTCTAAATTTTATGCCTAAAGTTGAATTTGTATTGATTCACGCAAGTAAAATAATGTGGAAATAATATCTATTTTTTATAAAGATTAGATTAATATTGTAGAATATTTATTAATTAACCTATTTTGCCACGTAGTACATATGCAACATATACGTACATACACATACGTAACAACAAAGTGAATCTTCCAACGTACAAGTGACTGGAAGTAACGAGTATGCTAATCGTGTAAGATGTCGAATAAAAGCAGACACTGGTGAATAATGTTACTCAAAATCTTTTGATAATATAATAATATAAAATATACAAAATAGTAAATCAAATTTTAGCAGTTTCCATATTAAATTTATTGAGGTAAAATGCTTTTTTATTCAAAATTTCGCATATTTATAATATAGAATGCAATTAACTCGTATAAGCTGATCAATCATTGTTATGAGTAAAATTTTTATAAGCTTTCTTTTTATTGTTGCAGTATTATCGCAATACCCATATATAGTACTGGAGATGGTCAGTAGCCAGTCAGTCTGGCAGGCAAGATCCATAAGATCTTCGAATCTTCAAAATGAATCATTCACAAACTAAGTCATAAATTATAACAACGCGTGCTTTCTGAGAGATATGGATTTATTACGTAGTCGCTATGTTATTTTTTGTTTGTATACAATCATTTTATAGCGTTTTATACAAAGATAGTATCGATAGATCTGCGTTTCGTATTCGTAAATTATACTATTAATCGGCAACCGCTTGATTTATGCCGTAATCGATGATATAAATTTCATTCGTTACGTAATTGAGATGTAAATCGCGATAGGTGTTAATAATAAGATAGGTGTTATGTAGATTAGGCACGGGAAACAAATATCCTTAAAAATAATGTAATTTTCTGGAATATTCTGGTCAAGAATTAAAAAACAAGTGATTGCGCTTTTTGTGAATATTTTCGAAGTTTAGCTATTCAAAAATGTATCTAGGAGGATTTTTCAAAATTAGAATTATTTTCGGAGATGTTGCTATTTGATCATGAGAGTCCTCCTTTGCCTTTTTCGATACGATACCCACAATTTCTCAACTTCTACTGAACCGATTTACTTCAAATTTTTACACAGTATTCCTATACACTTTTTTTCGTTACAAACTACGCTAATCCTCAAAGTACGAATGTAACTACCTTTAGAAAGTTCGAGAATTTCAAAAAAGTTGTTAAAAATATATTATTTTGAGACAGTCGCTATTTTGTTATAAAACATTATTTTTCACATGTCCGTAGTTCATACACCTACGACATTATCCTAGATTAATAGTGTATAAATATTTTATTTTTGAATTGTTTGGAGAGCTTTCAATCATAGGTGTGATCAGATGCCAATTTTTTAGGATCTCCCACTTCATCACTTTCAAACATTTAAACTTCTATTTTTAATTTATATTTTTTTTTATAAATTCTCAAAACATTGATTAATAACTTGTAAATAAATATATAGTCAAAATATTGTTTGCCTTTTCACCTCGTTAATGAATAAGGTGTTCCGGGATTTGTTCAAATATAACTTATTACTGCGTGAGTTGTTTATAAATCGTTGACATTTCTTATAATTACAGCTAATTGAATTATCGATGATATTAATATTTAACTACAAACATTCCGACATATATTAATGATATGAAAGTTGGTTCGACAATTTAAAATTGTAAGATATGATTTTTTTACCATATCATTACAATTGGTTCGCCGATTTCACATTAAGATATGGTGCACAACAACAGAATTAATG